ATTTTCCAAGCAAATCCTGCTCGTATTCCGAAAAACTCGTATACAGGGACACTCGTATTCCGAGGTACCAGTCTGTATGCCCATGATTTTTTTTTATATGGAGTCTGTTTACAAGAGCCCTGAGGAAGCTGATGTGAACCCCATGTAGCCGCGGAAGTTTTGAATCATACAGTATGTTAACACTTTCCGGCCTATGGCAGGCGCGCCACCAACTTAGAAGTCGTGCCCCTAGCATGCAGGCGAGCGCGCGGCGACACCGAAATGTGTATACTCGTTTCAGTTTTCTCACCTTAATTCTCGTGCTATGTCGTTCATTTTGGTATCACTGTGTTCGCAATAAAATTCCATATAGGTGTATATGCATATAATGTCCAAAAGCCCGGCGTGACTCCCCACAGCAAAGCCTAAATTCAGCAAAAGTTACCCGTGAGCGCACAAAATCAGTAAAATGTGTATACTCGTTTCACTTTTTTCACCTTAATGCTCGTGCTACATCGTTTATTTTTATATCATTGTGTTCGCAATTAAATTCCCTGCAGGTGTATATGCATATATTGTCCAAAAGTCCGGCGTGACTCCCCTTAGCAAAGCCTAAAGTTACCTGTGAACGAGCACCAATTATCACGCCCGCAACCTAATGTGGACATGTTCAGTTTGATAACATAAATTTTCGTGTTACGTCGCTCGTTTTGGTTTCAAATTGTTAGCAATATAAAGGCACGTATTTTAAAACTAGTCCCATAATAATAGAGCAATAACTGTAATTTTAACAAATATTTTAATTTTGGACGCTCATCATCACAAAATTATTTATATCTTTCCAGTGTTCTGTCATAAATTTTTGTGTTACATCGTTCATTTTGGTATCAAATTGTTCACAATCTAAAGGTGTTCATTTTAAAACTAGTCTCATAATAATAGCACAATAAATAGAATTTTAACAAATATTTAAAAATTTTGAACAAAAACATATTTATAATCTTTCAAGTATCCTGACATCATGTTTCATGTAACATCTTTCATTTTGGTATCAAATTGTGCGTACTCTAAAGGTGCTCATTTTGAAACTATCCCGAAGTCGATCGGATAAAAAATTTATTTTATATTAATATTTTTGTATCGGACACGAGCACAGTCCAACGCTCGTACTCAAGAGAAAAAAATCAGACGCGAGGGGTGTTCGAAGAGTGCGATAGTGTTAGAAATATAAGATCCCGGAAGCGCGTTGAGCACCTCCTGTTGAGTGCCTGCAGGCGCATTGCACAGTTCAGTGGTTAAAGGAACTCTGTCATTATTTACAATGAAGTCCCTGCCAAGAACTTTTCCTTACTGATTCACCTATTTGTCATGTGTTATATATGTTCTATGTTATATTTGTTATATTTCTCAGCAATTCCCTTGTCACTTAATAATAAACAAAATCCTTAAATTGTTGCTTCATCAACACAAACCACCTTTTTTTCACTGTTGTTTTCTATTCACTTTCCAACATCCAATTACCAAAAATTTACTTTTTCACCAACTCCAAGTGCATGTCTTCCTTCAACAGTTTCCTTGCTAGTTTCAAACAAGTGGTAGATGGGAGATACAGCCTCACCAATTAGTAGAGCCTCCTTACGATGGCTTAATTGTTCAGTATCCACTGGAGATAATCAAAGAGCATTATGTAGTCTGGTCCAGCATGCTTTTCCAGTCAAATCAGCAAGCTAGTTAATGCATTCCAGTCACATCAGCTAGCTTGAAATGGCATTCAAGTCACATCAGGTGGATAGTAGAATGATGCCTGTCAATGAACTGATAAAAGAAACTCACTGCAATTGCTGGCCAGCAATATCTTGAAAAACAAATCCCGAATTTCTAAAAGAATCATAAAATAATTATATTATTTATGGAATAATGAGGATCTGAATTCTTCTTCTTCTTATCTTGAGGTTATCTTAAGATGATTTTGGGGCTTTAGCGTCCCCGCAGCCCGGTCCTCGACCAGGCCTCCTTTTTGTTACACACCCCCAAGGAAGCAGCCCGTAGCAGCTGTCTAATTCCCAGGTACCTATTTACTGCTAGGTAACAGGGGCATCAGGGCGAAAGAAATATTTTGCCCATTTGTCTCCGCCTCCACCGGGGATCGAACCCGGAACTTCAAGACTACGAATCCGAAGCGCTGTCCACCCAGCTGTGAGGCGCACGGTTAAAATGCGCAATTTCTTCGCAATACGTGCAGTATGCATGAAGGTGTACCCTTCCAATGACTGCATGAGTGGTAATGTAGAAATATGCTTATGCTACAATGTTCAGCGGCACATCAATGGTCATGATGCAACAGAGGCGGGAAGAGAATGACGCCGTCCATGTGAGCGAGGATAAAGGCAAAAGAAACAGACAAGAGGAAAGGGATACAGGATGGGAATACTGTAATGAGAAGAACAGAAGACGAACGTAAAGCGTCGCCGCATTAAAGAAAGCGAGGGATGTAGGCAAGAGACGGAGGGTGAGAGGCAAAGGATATGTAGGAGGGAGTTGTGAAGCAGACATGAGAAAATAAGGGAGGTGCGACCAGAGGAAGGTACATAGGGTGAATGTGTATAAGGTCAGAGGAAGTCAGGATGGGACAGATGAGGTTAGGATAGGGCAAGGTACGTAGACAGAATCCGGAGCCTTACGGCTGGGACACAAATACATCGATCTTCTTAGAAGTGCCAGCAGAACAACGGGACGAAGACCTAGGAGAGGCACGAGAACAAGTCATGGGAGAGTGTGGTTTATGGAGCCCATCAGGCAAGGTGACGGGGCGCTTGGAAGTCGGGACGGCAGAGGATTGCTGCTTCTTAGTACCGGGGTAGAGATTTGCGGCAAGGCAGCCTGGGAAGAGACACGGGGAAGGCGTGCCAATGAGTTCTGAAGGGCATTGTATAGCATCATTTCAAACACATTAGAGATAGCTGAGGCAGGTGTGGTAGGTTGGATGTCAACCATAGAAGTGGAGGAGGGATGCATCAGGTCAGCCTCAGGAACGTGGAGGTCGGATTGTGGAAAGAATTTAGTGAAGAAGCAGACAGGTGCCTTCTCGAGGGCATCCGTAACGCGAGTGACAATAATGTCAACATGATCAGGAATCAGTTGTATGGCGTATGGGAGAGAAGAAGCCTCAGGGGTGAGAGGAACGTCAGTGACAGACAGGTCAGGCACAAGCAAAGGCAGCGCAGAGTGGGAAGCAGTGGGGTGATGAGGAACCGAATCAGGATGAAGCAAAGCATGACTGGAAGGCAGGGTGATGGCGGGGAGAGCCTTAGTGAGCACCGCTACATAGGAAGGACATTGCTTGAATGGGATGGAATGATCACCACCACAGTTGGGGCAACAGAGCATATCGGACACACAGGGAGGATTTACTGGGCGCAATTCCTTAACTGTAGCCTCTGTTTAACGCAACAGTAAAATGTGTACTTGGATGAAAAAACGATTCTTCGCGGCAGGGGATCGTATTCCAGGGACCGTAGGAATAAGGACTTGCCCGAAACGCTACGCGTACTAGTGGCTGTACAAGAATGTAACAACTCTTGTATATATCTCAAAAAAAAAAAAAAAAAAACCCAGCCAGCAGCCCTAGGGCATTCTGGGAATTTTTTCCAAGATGGTTGCCTCTCACTGCCTCTCCTAAGAGTCCATTTCGTACACAATTAACCTCCCACACATTTAGAATGGGTACGAAAAAATAAAAAATAGTTTTCTCGGTTTGCTCAGTTTTCCACTGACCGAAAATACTCGGTTGGCGCAGTTAAGTGGTTAATAACACCAATCCCTTTATTTATGCTGAGGAAATTATAATTGTCCCAGGGCATGGAAAAACAGTCATTAGTTGTCCTTCGGATAAGTGAAATGGAAAATATATTAGCAAACACAGGTCATCAAACAACCTGTCCTCTTAAAAAGAACGTCGCTTTTGGCCGTTTGCCTGTATGGCCGAATATGGACGTAACTTGAAAATGAAAAAAAAAATATATAAATTTGGGATTTTTTTTTCAACAACAGTAAGTTAAAGGTCCTCTGATAGGTTAGGTGGGCAGGAAATTCTCAAAGTTTCAAAATGGTATGAAAAACGTTAATGGAACGAATCTTTTTCTAAGCTGGCCGAGTAAGCCGGACGACTCAAACAGAAAACGGAACAGTACGTCACTTTTGTGAGTCGATTTCATTTCAAATTACGTCCAAATTTGGCCATAGCATGCATACGAGCGAAAAGTGACGTTATTTTTAAGAGGATGGGTTGCATCAAAATCATCCAGAATATTAGGGATCTTAACATCCCAGACGTTTATCATAGTCTCAGACTTCTGTATCAAGCTACTTGAGTAACCAGTGAAAATGTCAAGGCACTGTAAACTAAGGCTCACTGTGGATTGCTCCGGAGAAATGACAGTGTGTTGCTCTGCATTTGTCGGTAGCATAAGAGAGTCCCTCGTGGTCCCCCTTACAACTGTTGTTAAATAAGACAGTTTAATCATGTCACCCCTTGTATCTGTATATTAACTTTGTTAATCCTTAAGAAAGAGGGCTTAGGCACTGAAGTGTTTAACAATTACATTACTTTGTTATATGTATATTACAAGTTATTATTCACATAGCTCAATGAAAAGTAAATCAATGTCAATGAGAGTCCGGCGCACCAAGTTACAAGTCCACTCGGCAGTATTTGAGTTACAGATAAACATGTTACTGACAGGCAAACACCTCCAGGTCAATGCCACCAAGCTTCAAGCTCCTGGGCCTCAAGCCTCTGGACCTCAAGCTTCAGGGCCTCAAGTGTCTGGAACTTAAGCCTTTAGGCCAATTTATGCATTAGTTCCCATGTAGAGTCCAGTACACTAAACAGTATTTGTGTATTTTTTATACGTGTTCACTTAATGGAAAGTTTCTAATTTTGTCTACACGATTGACCCCAAATTTACTGTAATGTTGAAGCGGAAGGTTTTTCTTGGTGCTCGGGGAAATTAACACAATATTTGTTTTTCATTTTACTCATAATCCCTTACTTTTGCAGTAGTCCTCGGTTGATAAACACATGTAATTGTTTGAGTACCATTACCGGAACACACATTGTCAGCAGAGATCGTGACCTCCCTAAACTTTGTTGTGACTTTTTCAAATGTAAATCGTATCACGAGCATAGCTCTCATCCTGTAACTATACTTAGGTAATTACTTCAGATGTGTCCATTTACATTTTGTTTTGGAGTAAATTCTGAGTGTCCTTCCTCGACACTACAAAAGATGGTACTAGGATGTGTCCAGCTGATGCATGTTGATACGAGTTGGAACAGGGTATATCACAGTGTTGTCGCTGCCTCTCTCCTGAAGAACACAAACATGTCTAACTCCTCCATCTAACAACATTAGGATAGAAAATTAATAAATTTAGCACAAATATACAATTTAATGTTCTGAATGTTGGTTTCTGTATTGGCATTATCATCAACATGAATAAGTTCACTTCCACCCCTTAACTCTACCCAGTTATTACCATCAATTATACCCATTTATCACCATCAGCAATATCAAATTATCAACATCAAATATACCACGTTATCACCACAACTATACCCAGTTGTTGCATTCAACTATCTTTTTTGTACCTGATACCCTGAAGTTACCATACTGATATAGTGCTATATTAGTTGGAGTCATCAATCGCAGAGTTCTTGTTGCCTACTGGAAACCAGAGCCAGAACCTGGCCCCCTCGGAGAGACGCAGAGAGCAATGGCCTATGAGCACTTTACATTTAAAGTACAGTATGTCACATTTTTGCCATCTACCAGGGAAGGCACCCAGAAAGGTAGGCAAATCAATATAGACCACTGTCTGGTTGAAAATTGTGAGCTATGTCCACAAAATAGCAAAAGAACTCCCCCAGAAAGAAAACAAACAAGCAACGCATCATCCAACTAGCCCCTGCTCATTAGTGCAAATAGGGAAAGCCGGGCAAGCCAGCATTTCTGTTCTTGACTAATGGTGTTGGCAGTCGGACATCGACTCAGGGACGTGGTTTCTTTTCTGGAGTTTTGCCTTAACGGCTGTTCCGGCACTTGTGTGCATCAGCCTGGAGTTCTACAGGGTACAGGGGCTGCATGCGTCTAGGGTTCCCTTCCCTAGGTGCTCCGTGAGTACTGCCCTTAGGTTAAGACAGTACTCAGGTACTACTTAGGTTGTAGTTAGGGTTATCTAATCCTGATTTGGGCGAAGGATTGCCCGAAACGCTATGCATATTAGTGGCTTTAGGTATTGTATGTACTAGCTCTATCTATAATTCCAACATTATGTTTGTAACTCTGCATCTACGTATGTACTTTTCCTGAATAAAATACAGTATTATTATTATTTTTCCTGGAGCATTCAGGAATCACTCCCCTTTAGAGGGCTTCCTCACTTGGGGTTGTCCTCACCCTTGGGGTAGGCTGGAGGTATTGGGCTGTCTGTCTCTTCCCGGGTTGGGGGGTGTTTGTTGCTATGGGGGTGCACTGCGGCTGGTGCAGCTTGCATTACTATCATAAGCAGCAGCCGATGTTTCTCTCCGGCTGCTAGTTTGCTTATTGTGAGATTTTGGGGGTGTTTTCTTTTGTTTTCATTTTGGCATTTTTTGCCTGCTGTTGCAGTGGAGGTCTGCCTAGCTTTTTATTAGGCTTAGACTAGATGGTGGTGGTCCTCCCCCTGTTGCCCCCAAGGTTTCATGACTGCAACTTGCAGTTGGTTTGCCTGCTACAGACAGGGTTTACCAGTTTAGCTTGCCCCAGTGCCTGGGCTTCCCATAGAGCTTATTCACTCCACAGGCCTTGGAAAACCCGTGGGCTTGGTCATACCAAGGTACTTCTTCCGAGTTCGCTCTCGCCTTGTGCAATTTTGAGGGTTGTTTGTTGCCCCCTTCCTCAGGGAGATGACCATCTGTACTCCCTTCATCATGCTGCCTGTTGGGCCGGATGACACCTCCGACCCAGGGTCTTGCAGGACTTGTTCCCCAATTGTGCTCCAATTGCACACAAAGGGTGGTCGAAAACTATGCAGTAAACGGCCTAGCAGAGGCAGAACCCAAGGAACTTGTGGAAGATGGCCCCAAGCTCCAAGGGCAGTACTTACAGGGCACTTAGGGAAGGAAACCCTAGGCGCATGCAGCCCGAGTACTGGAGAATCACTCCCGGCTCACGCACCACCTAGAAGACAGTCACTACACACTAGGTACAGTGCTGAAACAATCACCAGAGCCAGAGCACATGACCTCAGCCTTTAGCATCAGCCTCAGAACTGATGGGTAGATAACCAGTGTGAGGGGTCTGGGGTTCCCCCTTCCCCCTCCTGGGGAGGGGGGAGCTGCGCAAACAGTGGCGCAGCGATGTGTGACGTCATGATCGTTTGCTCGTTTCTTTTAGAGTAGTTCTATCCACTTGTTGCTTTTGGTAGCAATAATTTCACCAGAATTGGGGTTTATTTTGGGATGCTTACCTTTCTGGGTGCCTGACCCAGTCGATGGCAGACATAGAATGCTTCCAACCACACAGGGGATTCTATAGGCCATTGCTCCCCATGCCTCTCTTAGGGGGGCCAGGTTCTGGCTCGTGGTCCCCAGTAGGCCCACAGAACTCCATACACATGACTGATGCCAAAGTCTGACATTAGCATATCAGCCTAGTAAGCTCCGGGAGCCTCCGGGTCTCACCCAGAAAATGGCCTACTTCAATGACTGGTTGGTGTGGGCTCCCAGCTAGTCTGCTTGTCTGCTAGCCAAGGATCTGGCTCTTAGCAGCTGTGCGGAAGCCTGAACTTCGCTCTACTGGTTTATCCGCTGGGTGGGGTTTGGCTTTAAAAGCTGTCCTGATATCTTCGGGTCATCCTCTTTCGCTGCTCTTGCATTCGCTGGGCCGATCTCTGGTGTTCCTAGGTTGGTTGCTGCATTGCCGTCTTCCTCTTCAGGTTTTCAGGGTTCAGTGCCCTGGTGTCCTATCTTTTCCCTCATTTGATGTGTTCACAGAAACCTCTGTCTGTCGGCTGGGGCTTCATGACCAGTGCTCACCAGGCCAGCTAGGGGCTGGCCTGGTGAATAATGGATGGCGGCTGTCATGCGTCAGGCGCACAGCATGGTGTGGGAGTTTAAGGCAGTGTGGCTGGCGCTGCGAATGATTCGGGTTCCATGGGACTCAGTGATCCGGCTCCATTCAGAATGCTCCCCCTGTGGTTTATTGTCCCAACCGGTTGGGGGAGATCTCTTCAGTTTGTCACTTTGGGGCGGGTAGCTTCATGTGGCACTTCTGCTGAGTTTTCGGAGTTTAGCTCTCTGCAGCGTTCATGTTCAGGGTGTGTCTAACGTCCTGGCAGATGACCTGACTTCATTCCTCTTTCCACGGAGTGGACGGTTGACGCCACTTCCTTCCTTTGGCTTTGCTGGATGTATGGGTGCCTGGAGGTGGACCTCTTAGCTTCAGTGTGGTCTCAGCATCTCCCATTGTACATGGCATCGTTCACCGACTGCGAGGTCTCAGAGTGGATGCTTTTTGGCAGGACTAGTTGAGGTGGGGGTTCCTGTACCTCTTTTCCCCAGTTCAGCTGTTGCTCCGGGTTCTGGCTCGACAGTAATCTTTTCAGGGAAGAGTTCCTCTCCTGTCTCCATGGAGGCCAGCCCAGCCTTGTTTTCATGCGCTGCTTGCTCAGTGTCCGATACCATGTATTTTTCCGTGACTCCGCCTCTTTCAGCAGGTCAGTCCAGTGAGGTACCTCGCTGGTTTGATTTCCTCCTCCATGTTCCGCGTCTGGCATTTCTGACTGGTGTATCAACATTTGTATAGTGATCAGGTGACTTCTTTAATGGTGTCACACCTGTGGTCTTTGTCTCAGCGACAGTGTGAAGTCTCTTGGCAGTCTTTTCACCATTTTCTTTCTCTTCGTCGGGTTTCGTCGGTTTTGGACTGGGTTGTTTTGTCCTATTTCTCGTGGCTTTTTGTCTGTCTTTTTACTTTTTTATAATACTGTCGCTTCTTTTGGTGTGGTGTTGGCAAAGCCACTGCAGCTTGCGTTCGGGGTGGATGTCACTTCCGCTCCGTTTCGTAAGCTTTCTCATACATTCTTTCATCTCTAGCCTGCTTATGTGCTACCTGAGCCTTGTTGGTCTTAGGACTGGGTTCTTTCTTTTCTTTTTTCTCCTCGGTTTGTGGTGGCCCTTTTGGTTCGTGATTGATTTTGGAAGGCGCTGCTTTTGTTGGCCTTGGCCTCTGGGGGGGGTTGGGTTGGGGCGCTTCATGTTCTTCTCTGGCGCCGGGGGTTTTGTTTCTTTGGTCCTGGTGGTGGTTTTGTTTGTGGGCAGCCGTCTCTTTCTTTTCTAGCAAAGAATGAGATGGTGTGCTTCCGAAGGAGTTTGTTGGTTGTGGATGGTTGGTTGGTTCGGCCGGGGGTGCATCATGTTCTGTGCCCAGTAGCTGCTTTACACCACTACCTGCGGGCCACCAGTTATGTGTCAGTGGATGCACTTTGGGTTAATCCAGTTTCCCTGATTCCTTGTTCCAGGGATAGTGTTTCTCAGGTTGTCCACAATGTTAAACCTTTCTGGGTGCCTTCAGGGAGCAATGGCCCTGGAAAACCCCCCTATGGTTGGAGTTTTTCCTTATCTGCCATCGACTGGGGTTAGGCACCCAGAAAGGTAGGCATAACAAAACAAACCCCCACATGGTAAGAAACTAACAACAAAAACTGAACAGAGAGGTAGAACTCCCTACAATCCCAAGGAAACAAGCAAACAAGCAAACGTAACACACTACTGCCGGGCCGCTCGTCCGCGCAGCCCTCCCCTCCCGAGAGAGGGAGGGCTCGGGAGAGAGGGGGGGCTCGGGAGGGGGGGGGGCACCTGGACCTCACTGCGCCGGCTGCAAAAAACTCCAGTTCGTAAGCTAATGTTAACCGGGACAGACGCTTCTCTGGCCTCAGTTTCCTAGGCAGTGTTTGCCTTTGTGGCGCTCACTGCTGTGTTTTTGTGTTGTGCAGTGGCCAGGTGTTCCTCATCAGTACTGAGGCTGCATGCACTTTGGGGCTTCCTTCCCTAAGCGCCCTGTGAGTACTGTCCCTACGTGACAGGGTTATCTTCCCTGGGGAGTTCAGGAACCATTCCCGTAGAGGTTCTTGCTGCTCGGCATTTGCCTCGCCCTTGGGGGCCAGCTGGGGCTTGGGGCCCCTTGTTTGGCCTTGGGTAGGGACTGGAATTGTGCTGGTTAGGACATCAAGGTGTTGTGCGACCTGCTACCTTTGCGGCGACCGGTTCCTGTTGCCTCTGGGGACGGTGTACTATTGTGGGGTTTTTCTTTTGTTTTTATTTTCATTT